TGGTGTATTCTATTTTTTTAGTATTTATTATTTTTATAGCTGAGTAATATTCATTGTGTGTGTGTATGTGTGTGTGTGTGTGTGTATATATATCTCACACCTTTCTTAAACTAATCATCTGCTGATGGACACTTAGGTTGCTTCCATGTCTTGGCTGTTGTAAATAGTGCTGCTATGAGCATTGGGGTGCAGGTATCTTTTCCAATTAGAGCTTTTACCTTTTCCGGATATATGCCCATGAGTGAAATTTGCTGGATCATAATGTAACTCTATTTTTAGTTTTTTAAAGAACCTATACTGTTTCCAGTTTACATTCGTACCAACAGTGTAGGAGGGTTCCCTTTTCTCCACACCCTCTCCAGCATTTATCATATGTAGACTTTTTGACGATGGCCATTCTGACGGGTATGAGGTGGTAACTCACTGTAGTTTTGATTCGAACTTCTCTCATAATTAGCGACGTTGAGCGTATCTTCTCCTGCCTGCTGGCCATCTGGATGTTTTCTTAGGAGAAATGTCTGTTTAGGTCTCTTGCCCATTTTTGATTACTTTTTTGTATTGAGCTGTATGAGTTATTTGTTTATATGGGTATTAACCCCTTGTCAGTTTGCGAATATTTTCTCCCATTCTGTAGGTTGTCTTTTTGTTTGATGATGGTTTCCTAAGGTCACTTTTGTCGGTGAAATACTGCATTAGCCAAAGCACTGTGTCCGTCTCCTAAGTTCTTGCTGGCAACTTCGGTGTTGCCTCCGGGGCTACATATTTTGGTATCAGGTTTCTATGCCATGTATTTGTTTCACCCCATAAGGCGTGGCGTCCCTAGGCCAGCAGCCCTTCCCCTCGCTGGTGTGCGGCCATGTCAAGTCTGCTGCTTCTCGGAGCTTCCACTCCAGGCCACACTCTGCATCCCAGCCCGGGCTGCACGACACCTGTTCCTTGTCAGGCACAGGCGTGGTGCCGAGAGCCGGAAGATGAACACAACAGATCAAAGTAGAATGTTTCGTGGTGCTTGAGAGGTTTGAAACGATCCTCTAAAATTAACTGCTTCTTACGGAACATAATCAAAAAATAGAGACAGCCAGGGAATGTTGGCTCCACCTGTGAGACTGAGTCATAGGATTAGCAACGCTCCTTTCCTTTCAATGATAACATTTTTAGCTTAAATGTACTTTATATTAACACGACTCTATTCCAGCATATTAATTAACACGACTCCAGGCCCAAATAAAGTTGAAATCAACTCAAAATAAAACAGCTCAGTCATAGTAGATGAAATGTTCTAACCTTCTCATCTCAGAAGGACAATACTGACATTCTCGGATGGACACTGAATTTTTTTCAGTAATAACACGAACGCAC